ATTACCTTTAAATTTTTTGCAATAAGTAATTCTACAACGTTATCAATACCTTTAGCCAAGCCCTCCGTGATTTCGCGTGAAACTCTTCTGTTTTTAATTTGTCCACAAACTGTAAAGGAGCCTGACAGCGGACAAGACACTCCCGCATGTTCATCCTCTCCGTCTTTTCCGTCATTACAATTTGAGCCCTCCTTCATCATTTCAGAATTATCAAAGTTTTCGTTCTCAGTTTCAATCATTTCCCTACCATTATCATTCTGTAAATGACTCTTTTTACAATACAATTTAAATATCAATCAATCATTAAATAAATTCAATCTCTTCAACACTGCGAAAGGGCCGTATATAAAAAGAATAAAGTTAAAACATATCTACAACTTTAAAATATCAATACTACAGCACAGAAAATCACAATACACAAGACAAATACAATAACAATTAATCATAAAAGATTACAATTATTATAACAAAATCTTATTCAAGATTTAAAATCTTAAAATGAATAGAAAATTCTTCATAAAAATATCAAAACTCTTTTCATAATTGGAATATAATCCCTAAAAACACTTAAAAACCATAAAAATACAATAAAACGCGCAAAAAGTACAGTTCTACGCTAAAAATCAAATAATCCACCAACGGGCCAAAAGATTAACTTATCAGTGCACCCAAGTATCGGGTAGTTACTCCTAGAAACAATATATCTACAACAAAGACATTTATTCATTTGGCTAAAAGTCTACAAGTCCCGGTGCAAAATACGAAGCTCAAAAGGTAAACGTTTGCTCGCCACGTTAAGCCTAATCGTAATACTACGAAATAAAAATGTTCGTAACTTGAAGAATATCAGTGTCTGAAGCTTGAAATTAAGTTCAAGCGTGAAAATAAGTATAATCTTCCAATGCATACACTCAAAATCTAATTACACAGTCTGTTTAAAGCAATACAAGCATAAAAACGTACTTGCGTATGCAAATGAGGCAAACGACCAGCTTCAGGATTTAAAATGCTTCAATCTTCGAAAATAAAGCACATCCTTCAACAAAATGCATATGAAATAAAACCGGAACACATTCTGAAACCAATAAAAGCACTTTCACAAGAAAGTATTCACGGCTAATCTTTGGAATATGGTAACAGGTAGTTTGGCGACATTTTGGTAAGGCGATAAACGTTACTAGCTAGGACTTTAGCAGTGTACATGGATATAGTCAAGAGTGTGCGCAATGCCATTTTTGTGCAAATTCTGGAATGTTTTTTTAAGTGAAAATAGGTCGACGTGTACATGATGATACCGTGTATGTGCAATTCGTAAAAACGCGGCAAGCAGTGGGCGATTCTGCACTTTGTCCCGATTTCGCACCTAATCTTCGTCATGATTAAGCACTTTTGTTCCATAAAAGTTCTAGCATAAGCGTATTTCTATTAGTTCTAGGCTAGCAGATTGTTCGAAAAAAATGTTGGAAATGTTGAGTAAAAAAAAAAAAAAAATAATAAATAAATAAATAAACGCCTTTACTTCGTGAAAACAAAATGGCGTCCAAACAAAAAAACTAGCAGGTTGCTGTAGCAGGGTTGGTCGCCAAAAATATCGCCAAGTTACCATAATCCGAAGATTAACCGTATTCACAATTTACAGAAATATAACGAATTTTTCAGGCGCTCAAACAACCACCAACCAACATGGATGAAACATGCGCCAAACCCCAAACTCCGTTACATATTCGATCTGGAAAACGCATGTATGCGATGTTATCGTCATGCGATGATTTGTTGGCACTTTATTTTTACCACGATGTTTTTAAACTGCGAAGTTTTTGAACTACCACGAGTTTTTTGTACCACGATATTTTAGGACTGCGATGTTTTCTTCCACGATGTTTTGTACAACGACGTTTTCTCCTTGCTTTGTTTTCACCGCGACGTTTTCGTCAGCGATGTTTTTGCCGCGATGTTTTCAGTTGTAACCAAAATGCGTCATAATGACTTCGTTCAGCACATGATTATGCTCATGATTAAAAGCCATATTCTTAAGTAAGAATAATGTTTTCCCTCCATGCAAGCATATTTAAGTGTAATTATGCACACTTTTTTTTGCAGAACAAAAAACTGAAACACTTCGAAATATATAAAAATCTTCATCTCGTAAAATCACAAAAACTATCCTGAGCAAAATCGTTAAACCTTTTCCGGAATGTAAAAAGAATACAAAAGCATGAGCAAGATCTGATATTTTGCATACAAAACATGGAAAATGTATATGTATAAAAGTCTGAATTTAATAAAAGAGAAAATTTCACATTTAATGTCTTCTTTAATTCATAATTTCAATTAAAATGAAATAAAAGTAGACATTGGTCAAAGATATAATTTTTTTCAAAATATTTCCTTTTCCTTATTTTAGATCGATATTTTAACTTTCTTAACTCTGAACATTTGAGAATGATGTCAAACCGATAAATTAGGTATTAATAGGAATAACTGAACAGTTCTAGTATTCTCCATTTCGCTACTATGCTGTTATTGAATTCTTATTAGATCTTTTGATGCAGTATATAACTAATTTGGTAAATATCAGTTTTCCAATTTTATACACGTCATTCAAAACTACAGCAAGTCTGACTCTTGAATATCATCGACAATATGAGTACAGATACAGTCATTCTCCGTACTTCAGAATTCTTCAGAGATAAATATTTTGAACTTCAAAATGGACACTGAACTCTTGCTCAGCATATTTGAATAATTCTTACTGCAATATTTTTTGCAAATGTCAGCATCATCCATCTGCCTCAAGTACCTTGACGTGAGCCTGACTGATTATTATCCGTCGTGTGGTGGCAATGGGGTGAAATGCTTACTCATCCCTGAGGCATTTCGTAAAGAAAACTTTGGAATTCACTGTGATAAAACTGAAGAACTGCTACCTAAAATCTTCAAATATATCCGTACTTTATATTCTTTTAGAAGTTCCAATGGAAAATTTAAATAAAGTTACAAATAAAAAATCTAAAGTCTGAAGATTTCAAATTTTACATGACACTTTTTGCCAGTAAAAAAGCTTATATTTATCACTACTCTCAAAGGGAAACACAGACTTGAATGTAAGAAAATTATGAAATGCTGTATGCTGCTCAGACATGCACGTTCAATTTCTGTCAGTCTTATATTTTACATTAGTTTCTTTTCTGTTTTTTTTTGTAACTTATTTTATGTTTTATTGCATTTTTAGGCATCAAATTTGCATTTATTAGTTAGTCAGATTTAACTTACAGTTTTCAAATCCTACGTGGTTAGGGGTACACCAAACAAAACTTAAAATGTCTGATTTAAATATCTTATCTTATAACTTCAGTTCGTGATTTTTTACAATCACCGAAGAAAAGTTATACTCAGTTTAATTCTGCATACGTCAACCTTTTCTTTGTTTTTGATACAATCAGCTTCAACCTTTCCTTTGTCTCTGATGGTTTCGCCGCCTCTATAACAGTAAAAATTCGATTTTTGAGTTCACTAAAGTGTTACATTTGCAGCTAAATGTTGGTTTAGTTTTGGATGACTTTGAACAATCGTATCATTTCTGTTGTGATGTTAATCAAAATGCAATCTTCAGCAAATGTTCACATTGCCGTATTTCGACCTTACTGCTGTAATAAAGGGAGATAAAGAGGGCACCCAGCTTTTATTAAATAACAGACAAAACTTGGAAAATGCTTCTCTGTTAATGAATTTCCAAGAATTCGGAATGCTTGAATTTTAATATTATGTCGAAATGGAATTAATCACTCTGAATTACAGCGTATTTAGAATTTATTTCAGCGGAGAGCCATTTAATGAAAATCGAATAAGATTTATATTTTAATTTTCAAATGGGATTTTTATACGTAAATAATACTGTTACTTTTAGAGAAGATCGCACTTCCTTGAAACATTTGATAGTCGTTTGGCAGTGAAATATCTCTTAACTCCTTATAATGCCTTTTTCTAAATGTCTTTACATAGAAAATTACTATTATGAACCTTTCTTTAAATAGTTTGGATAACTTAAGCAAGTTATGTGTAATGTAGAGTTAAAGGTAAAAATACCGTATTTCATTCAAACTACATACAGTGTTTGAAAGACGGCAGCAACTTTATTTGCTTAAGTAATTGTCCGAAGTATACACATCCAACTACAGCATTTTAAAAATAAGGTTCATAATTTTAGGAAAATAATTTTGACACCATAATGTCCAAGTGATCCGTGGAAATAAATGCTAAATTTTGCGGAATTCCAGAAGGAATTTAAGTCAATCAAATACAGTCAGGTAAATTTCAGACAATAAATAAAGCAAATTTCAGACAACAAATGCATAACATGTAATAAGGTAAACACAGAATATTTCAGACTTTCATTTAACGTGCCAAGGCATTCGGAAATGAGTTTACGAACTTTAAGCACACTTTATTGCTAATTACTGCGCAAACGTTGAGATCGTCCACATTTAAAAAGCAACTACAAATACAACTTACTACTTTAGCCGCTACCTTTTTATACTGGGTAAAACCACCCTCATAAAGAATTTAACATATGGACGTACGAAGCATTTGACTAATAATATATTTTCATATTTTACATTTAAAAGAGGCAGAGGAGTTATATTTAACTTCATAAAGCATAACAGGCATTTTGGATTTGGATTTTGTTCGGTCCACAACAACTATTTTAAAATTTAAAGTGTGTATTTATAAAATCCTCCTAGTACTACTGCGAAGAATATTTGCTTAAAATTATGTATCTTATTGTGAGAAGTTTTATGCGTTAAAGTAGTATATGAGATCAATATCTAAGAAATTGCAATGTTTTTCGAACAGCCTGCATATTCACCAAACAGTATCATATTAATTCATATATAACTCAGTATAAAAAGGGAAATACGTTTTAAACTCATTCATAAAAAGTAAAATAATGTTTTGTATTTTGTTTTACAAAACTGAATTTCAATCTTAAATTTGCATACCTATGATATTAAGTCTCGTATGCAGAATAAGAGTCCTGGATCTCCGCAAGTCCACTCTGCATTTATAGTCAGCTTCATCTTCCACTCGAGCGGGTTCTAGAATCAGAGTTGGTGGATGGATGTTCATGTTAAAGTAAGATCTATCTTTTATTTCTGGACTTGGAAAATGCTTGGCTTCCTTGATAGTTCTTTTCCGAATATCCAGTGTGTAAATAGGATTCGGCATATCTACTCTGTACCAAAGAATAAGGGATACTTGATCATCGGATAGAGGTGTAGAGATATTACAAGGTATGGCTGCTTTCTCTCCTGCGACTGCAAGATGCACCGGAACACCTGTATAACACGAAGAATTAAACCTATTTAAGTTTATAATGCATTTCATCAAGCAGTGATGCATATGACAATATACGTCAAATGAATAAATGATATGTGTTTTAAACTGAATTCCTGTTAATCATTTATATTTAAAAATTAATAAATTAGTAAAAATATTGCAGACCCAATTCTAATTAGCTATACAGTATTATGAAAGAAGCAGCAAAATTTATTAAGGAGGGAGTTTAGTGAAATTTTATTATAAATTAAAAATAAACATTAAACTTTAATCAAGTGTTCAAAAGGTTCATTCGAGCGTTTTGAAAAGTTCTACTTTAAGTACAATCATGTATAATAAACACTTGAAGAAAATTTTATTTTAGGTCAAGTTTTAGAGTTATTAGGTATATTTTTTTAACCAGAAGCGATGATAAAAGAGCAATGCCTTAACCGGGACTCTAACCTTGGACCTCTCGAATACGCTTCGAGCGTTCTGGCCATTACACAACGAAGACATGCTAAGAAGTTGGGAGAAATTGGAGAAGTTGGGAGTGTGTTCTGTTTTGTAATGCATATTTGCTGCTCATTATATCTAGTGTTTATGATGAAGACATTTTCGACTTTGAGGTGGAAGAAAGATGTACAGAGATTTTCAAACAGATTGTGTGATCAATATATCTTAAATTCTGATTCACAGGCCCATGAATTTAGTATATTCGGAAAACAGTTTGGGTTAAACGATATCTCTAGGAAAACTTTAATAAGACTCCTGTGAACTAACATTGCATGTAAAAAAAATGGTTTCAATGGCGAAACAATAGCAAAACGTCTTTAGTTTTTTATATATGCCCAGGTATCCTGAATTAAGATTTTAGATTCCTTATGCAGGCAATATTAAAAATTGGAATTTTCGAAAGCAAATTTAGATTTCAGTTATTGTTTAAGTCAGAAAATCATTGGTAGAGAAGTGTGGGTTTTAAATTGGCATTCGTAGAAACTCTAATGTATACATCATACACATGTATCTAACCACAATAATACAGCCATATAAGGCGTCTAAAATCGACAAACCACAGCTTCTTTGATCGAATGAAAGGCATTTAGGAATTAAAATGTACATAACTGTTTTCAGATAAAAGTTTGAATATTAAACAGCCTTTTCTCTGCTATGAAGATGTCCAGTAGGATAAAGAACAGATAAATAACTAAAACTATCTCAGCTCATTTCCTTCATTTCTTAAATTAGAAATATTGGCTTATGACAAACTGTTCAAGTGGCATTAAATCGCCAAACAGTTTCGAAATTTCATGTATGGCATTATATCCTTATGAAACATAAAAAGTATAGAGGTCAAAATAGTAACTTTAATTTGCAATAGCCCTTTAATTCTCCAATTTAATTTGGATATTTCCCCTCTCCATTCTTTTTGCAACTAACGCTGCGTGACACGTTAATTCGAAACTTAAAGTCAAAATTTCCAAACCCAATCCTTTATCCTTTTCAAAAAACCTTCCATCTTGAATTACGTCACGTTTTCGAGTCTGCTTTCTTTCTAGCAAGACGAGCTTTTGCTTGCAAGGCCTTAGCTATCTTCAAAATAATATTTTAAAACATAACGGTGCTAATTTAATTTTCAATGTTATTTTGTTGGCTTAAACAAAACTATGCCAACAAGAAATAAAAAAAACATTATTAATTCTGCTGTAACTGCTTTCAAGTATTTCTACAATAGGCTTCAATATATCTGCCATCAGCGAATTTTCAAATTATTGCATATACATATATAAATACATAAGAAACTAATTAGAGAGGAAATTAAAAAAAATACATATATCAGTCCTGAGCTTATAGCTGCAAGATTGAAGTAAAATAAAAAGTATCTAAAGTTAAAAGTAAATTGGAGTCAAAGCAAAGCAGCTCCTCAACAATATTAGTAATTCCAAATTTGCATAACAGATTGAACACAATATCTAAGCAATTCCAAATTAATAAAAGGATCATAGTAATACAAACTCGAAACTAAAAATGCGAAAGGTGAAAAATATACAAGATAATGAAAATACAAAATTTAATCTCAATAAAACGTGTTTCGTTTTCCTGGTTCATTTGAGATCAAAAACCGAAAATATTAATTTTCATTACATTAAAATTCATATAAAACCGAAAAGTGTTAATTTCAAATGTACCACGATTTTCCCTACACGCCTTCGGAACACCTAAAAAAAAAAAGAATAAAAGATAACATTGTTTAAAATTGTTAAAATTGACTACACACACACCACACACACACACACACACACACACACACACAAAAAAAAAAAAAAAAAAAAAAAAAAAAAACATAAAGCTTTACATTATGTAAAATTACTATCCGAAAAAAAGCCAAATTGGTCTAAAACCTACATGCAAATTCGAAATTCAAAATTAAATATAAATATAGAGCGCACTACAAATATACTTTAAACCAAATAGTCATTTAAACAATACTCTAAAAAAAGGCGGTCCCCGATTTAGTTTAACTTAACTTTTAATTTCAAGAACTTTACATTGTGTAAAGTTTTATATTCTTTTGTGTTTTTTATTTTTTCAACAATTTGAAACAATGTTTTATTTTATTGAATGTTATGTTTTATTGTTGGTGTCTTCTTACGGTGAGAAGACGCCAATTATTTTTTAGTCATGGTCTAGATGGTTATAGATGCATATAGATGAAACAGCATTATATGGCATACAGATGAAATGCGTAGTAGAAGAAGAAAATTGTAGACGCTGGTGGAGATAATTTCATTTCTTGATGAAAAATTCTGAGCACACATATTCTCGTTTTCACACCACTATGGTTGCGATAAGCACCCCACAAGTTTTCGTAGCTTATCACATTTCTTCAGACAAGACATTAAATCTACTTTAAAAATTAACAAAATTTTAAGCTTACCTAGTTATCTAATACAGGTTAGTGAGAGGAAGGCAGGTACCAAAAAAAAAAAAAAAAAAAAAAAAAAAGCGAGCTCTGCGATTGTATCAGTGCCATCAGCAATGCAGGAGGATAAGATGACATGATGCGGATTAGTTTTCAGATATCACGAGGTTTAAATTCCAGAAAAGGTACATACCAAGTCTGAAATTTTGAGTTTCACAATTTTTTATTTTATATATATACTATGCTTTTTTCGTGTGTGTATTTTGTTTTGTGTATTTTTTTTTAATTTGTAATTGGTCTAACGATCTTCTTTTATTTGAATATTTCGCCTTATTGTGGTAAAATGCTCATAATAAAAATCTCCCTAATATGCGTTAATTTAGAATTATTGGCTATCATATGGTTTTTATATGACGGAGATGAGAGATATATTTGTACAACTCTAAACGTAAAAACAAAATATCTTATCAAAATCATTCAGGCCAAACGTTTTATGAATAAGTAATAATGAAACAATATAATGTCCCTGTATTATTCCGCCTGTGCACATATCTATCTCTAGTGTGCTTGTTAAATAATCATCAGCTCATTATCTCGGTCATTATCTGTACCTTTATCCTAGCATTTCTCTTACATATTATCTATATATCTAAAGCTATTTATATAGCAGAAACCTGAAAGTAATAAGTTAGTAGTCTGTTACCTTAAAATACTCAAAGATCGGTCGACCCTTCTCTTATTTACGATCTTAACGTGTTTCGTCAACATCGTACAGAAAGATTCAGGGGATTTTACCGATTTAGAGAAATCGGCCGTTTTCCCACAGCAGTCATTGCCATGGTTTTAAGTCATGGAATGTGGAGAAGAAATGAGCTTGAGTGCCTATTCTAAAGTAACAGACTATACCATTTAACGTTTTAATTTTTTACCAAGACTTTGTTGGCTTTTATATATGCTTTTATAATTTTAGTTGTTTCTTTTATTTTTACTAATTTTTACTATGCCAAGTATTCTTTTGTTACACTTATAGAAGGTCGCGGTTGGCAGGTAATGATTAACTTCATGTTTATTATTTAAATATTATTAAATTATTTGTTATCGCTAAAGTTTTCATTAATTAGCTCAGAAATAGGATTTTTACATTTCTCTAGCACTTTAATCGGGATATCAGAAGAAATGTTAAAACCTCTTTGGCTCTAGGCTTCTTTTGTGTAAAAAAATAAGTTTGTTCATTATTTTTGCTGCTGTAGTTTATTCCCCCTTATTTTTTAAATCTTCTCTCTCTTCAATGGAATGACATTAAAAAGTTTCACTGTTTATTATGTTTTATGCAAATATCCCCTACCTATATACAAATTCTTAAATTAAAGATTTAATATACAGGTTGTTTCATGGATCATAGGACACACTTGGAGGGTGGTGAAGCGTACTAAAACATGCATTTTTTATAGGAATGTAGGGTCTAAAGTGACGGGTTAAGGCGGGAACGCAAAAAAACGACACGCCAGGAAAATGTGTTATGTACAAAATCAACGCAAAGTGCTTCTTTGTAGCAATACAATATTCACAATAAATGTTCAAAATTGCGACCACCAGCAGTAATACATGCTTGGTAATACATGCTTAGCGTTGATTTTGTACATAAACACATTTTCCTCTAAGGTCGGGTTTTTCTTTTTTGCGTTCCTGCCTTAACCCGTCACTTTAGCCCCTACATTCCTACATAAAAAATGCATGTCTTAGTACGCTCTACCACTCCCCCAAATTTGTCCCATGATCTATGAAACACCCTGTATATACATATAGATAGGCAGATTAACTCTTTAACTTATCTATATATCTATCTAGTATCCCACATTTTATTTAAAAACCAAATTACTCCAAGTTATTTCGGAGCAATATGCTGTTGAAAAGTAATCAGTACAGTCAAAAAGTAAGAAATTTAGAATCAGTTCTACAAAGACCCAAAAGAACTTCTATATCAAAAAAGTTCAATAACCCAAAAGAAGTTCAATACCAGTAAAATTCAAAATTACCTATAAATATGTAAAATTAACTAAAGGTCAGAACAAATAAAGAAATATGAAATCTAAGACC